AGGCACAGTTCTCTTCTGTCTCAGGCTCTCCCCCAGCCCAAGTCTTGGGGATTAGAGTAGGTGGAAGACACAGAAGAATGGAGGACCAGATTAGCTTCAGGTGCCAGGGAGATGTGATTAAAAGTTGAAGGTGGCACCTCCCTGAAGACTAGGGACAAGGGCAGTGGCCAGGCAGGGACAGAGACCATGTCCCTGGGTCTGCATAGAATCCGTCCCCAGTGAAGGGAAGGGAAGACCGATGAGAGCCTAATGCCATTGGACACTGGGGTTTGCAGTCTGTAGAATCCCAGAAGATGAGCGAGAGGCAAGAGAGCAACATTCTCTAAGTAGGCAGAGCTAGCAGATGTCCATGGCAGACTCAGTGTCTGAGCCCATGGGAACCACCATCCGGGACACCCAGAAATAACTGGGAAGGACAGAAGCACAGCTCTATGGGCCAACAAGGATGTGCCCTGGCAGCATGGTGCTAAGGGAGGACGCAGACGGCAAGCCGCAGCATCCGTGGTTCTGTTTCTACGAAAGGGCCCAGCACAGACGAGACTAGAGACAGAAAGCAGGTCAGTGGTTGCCAGGGGCTGTGAGGAGGTGACTGGTGGATATGGATTTTTTGTCAGTGATGAAATGTTCCAAAACTAGACAGTTGGGATGGCTGTATGCCTTCGTGAATATACCAAAAGCCACTGGATTTACACTTGAAATTTTGTGATACTTAGGAAGAACTAGAAAACCTCAGGATCAAAGAAAAAGGGCTGGGGTCCTGAGTCAGCAGAGGAGAGCCTGCAGGTTTATGAAGTGTTGGCTACTCCTGTCCCTCCTGAACTGTTGTTTTTTGGTTTTTGGTTTTTTTTTCAGAACCAGGGATTGAACTCAGGCCCTTGTACTTGCCAGGCAAGCACTTACTCTACTGAGCCATCTCCCCAGCCCCCCTCCTGAACTTTGGTTGCCAAAACGGCTCCCATTAGGCTGGTGATGACGGGGCATCTGTGCTGCGGGAAGCAGGGTGTAGCCAGCGCCGAGTAGTACAGCACAGACCTCAGTGCTGACGAAGACCCAGCTGGATAGCTTACGCCGCACAGCTGCCACGTGCGCGTGCTGTACAGGCGGCCTGGGCTCTTAGGTGTTTTCTGAACTTCTTCAAGCCTTAAGGGCTCCACTGTCCACACTACGACACTGGAGACTTTCTTCTACTTGTTTCTCCGGTGCCCATGGCGTGTCCCCAACCACGACTGAGCTTTTTGAGAGTCGAGATTATGTCTTTTTAGACAAAGAGATTCGTTGTCCTTCCCTGCCCTAATCTGAACACCCATAGGTTCTCTCTGATACTGTGACCTCTCTACCTGACTCTGTACCAGATTAGACCAGGGCTCTGGGACCAGGCCTGCCCTGCGAGGCTCTTTGCACTTGGGCAGAGTTCTGTTCTGTCTGCTCTGAGTCTCCCCAGACTCTGCCCTAACCTCAAGCTTGGTTTTTGGCTCCTGAAGTTTGTCTCATCTCTGTCTTGATACTTGGTAGCATCAGTTTGTCCCCTCCAAAAGAAAGCAAGTTTGGTTTCTGGACATCATTGTGACAGCGATTTTTCTTGGGCATGGTAGGCTCTAACATGGAGTCTGCTGTCTGAAAACAGAGTTGATGTTAAACTCCAGCAAAGCTGAGGCCTGTTCAAAAGCCACTGCAAGCTTTCTCGTCTCTTGGAAGTAAAAGAAGCTTCCAATAGAAATGTAGGCTCCAGTTATGTCCGAAAGGTTCCTCGTGCATTTCCTAAACCTCAGGGCTTAAAAAGAAATCATTTTCTGATAATAGTTAGTTCCGTTTCCTCTGAAAGCCATAGTGAGGGAGGCAGGGAGCCTCCCAACGTTTCTGGGGGGTGGGGGGCAACAGCTCCAGGCCTGGGCTCCTCGCCTCCCCATGGGGTCTACATTTCATACAGGGTCTGTTCCCAGCCAGCCCGGCTGTGTTTACACAGAGGCTGCAGGAACAGGAATGCCAGCCACTTCCTGGTTCCAGAGCTGGCAGCGCGCCTGCCCACGTCTCTGCTGGCTATGTGCCTGAGGTGGCCTGAGGTCTGAACATTCTCTCTAAACAGGCACGTTCTCAATGTCCCCGAGGCCGGGTGGCATCTGGACCCAGAGTGTCTGTCTCCGAGGGAGCATGTGTGTTCGTGTGGCTTTCTGTGTGGGTTCATGGGGTTTGAATATGGGCACTGGTAGTTGGAGTGTTTGTGTATATGTATGGGTGTGTGTATTTTGGCAGTTGAAATGGCTAAGTGTATATAAAAATCTGTATTTATAGTGAAACAGCCAAACAATAAAGAAAAATATAAGTAAATATTAGTAAAAAAAAAAAAATCCTTTCATCACTGTAATGAGTGTTTCCCCCCTAAATCTCTACACAAACATATAAAGCTGTAATTTTCCATAAATGCTACCAATACAGTGGAGAACTGTTCTGTAAGCTAATAATACTAATGTAATGTAATAACGCACTAGTGCTCGCTGTGTGCCAGGCCCTGGTCCCCACATGGATTAATGTCTTCTATGGCCACACTATGAGGCCACCACTATCATGATTCCCATTTTTCAGGGGGCCTGGCCCTAGCTCAGTTCTTTAAGTGGCTGCTTCCACAAAGCTGTCAGCCTTAGGTGGTTGTAGTTCGATCCCCACAACCCTCCAGCCAGCCAAAAGTGCCCTGAAAGCATTCGAGGAGAAAAAAAAAAAAAATCCTTATGATTCCCATTTTTCAAATGGGAAGACTAAACCATAGAGAGAGAGTAGATAATGTCAGTCTCCAATGAGTGGCCACGTACTAACAGGGCCCTGCTGACTCCAGGGCTTGGTTGTGATCACTGCCTGTTAAGAGCTCTCAGGACCACATTGCAGGGGTTCTGGAAAGAGGGGAGGATGCCCCTGAGTGACCGTGGGTGGCATGGCTGTGTGAGGGTCTCCGAGTTCACCTCATTCATTCATCAGCTACTGAGTGCCTGAGACACCTAGGTCATGGGGGAAAATACAAACAATACTTGGATTTTCTTGAGACTCAACAGGTTTGGGGGGAGATAAACACAGAAATAGATTACTCCAGTCGAGGGGAGAAGCCATTCATATTACCTGGCTGGTAACTGTGGAGGTGCCTTTTTAATGTAGGAGACAGAAGAGGAGAGAGGGGAGGGAAAAGCAGAGGGGAGAGTGAAGGAGGAGAGAGGGGAGAGAGAGAGTAGGGGAGAGCAACTCTTGCTTAAGCCTGTGAAGTCCCCAGGATTTCCACTCCCAGTCACAGTGTGGTCTTGAAACATTTTTTTATTTGTATATGTTTGCATTATATTCATCAGGGGGACCTGGTACGTGTACATAACACATCGTAATTCTTTTTATTTCTCATTCCCCTCTTCCTCTCCCTCCATTCATCTTGCTTCTCTTTTGCAAAAGTTCTGTCTCCTGCATCCTATTATCTCTTTTATTTTCTTTCCAAAAAAACTTTATGTTCCTTTATTGGAGCAAGATTCCCGACCAGTATACAGTGATGAATTCACTAAAAGGGACCTATGCAGAAATCACACACTATCCTCTAGACAGGTTAGGGTTACACTTTGACTATTGATGGAATAATTCAATTTATAAAGTTTTATACATCAAAAAGCTTTTAATTTGACTAGGCTGTCCATTAACTGACCTCTAAAAAAAGTGGCATTTAATTTCAACTCTATCTTACAACAGTAAAAAGCTTATGCATTAGGGAGCCTCTCAAAACGTTACCCCACACAGTGGCTTTGAGCAGAGTCCGCTGTCTCCTCCCACCCAGATTTACAGTGGAGTTTTAGTTTCCTCCTAGATCCCCCGGGCTCCACAGTCAAAAGTGCTCCTAGCCCTTGGAGCGACCCTTTCTTGGCTGGACACTGCCCCAGCCCCAGCACACACACCAGCTGCCCCTCCCCCCATCCCCCAAACACACCACGAGGCTCTCAGCACCAGGCCTGTGTGCGGGTGGCAGATGATGCGCCCATTACATCCGGGTACACAGAGGGCCACTCTAAAAGCTGCCGACTGAAGGCTAAGAGCACAACTTGGAGGTCAGTTGGGATCCTGGAAACTCAAATGTCATATTTTCAGAAATCACTGGCAAACTGTACTGCTTCCCAGCTGGGGAGACATTAACACATTGATTCAAATCCCTTGAACTCCATCTTTGTAGCCCCAAGCTCATCCTGGAAAGTGCATTTCGGAAAATATGGAGTTAAGTAACAAAGTCTGGCAATGGGGTTGTTAAAAGTCAAACTTGGGAGGCCTGGGGTACATCCATTGTGAGATAAGAGAGTAAACCCTTCATGTACACATGTAATTTTATTGGAACAAAGCAACTTGTGCACTTCAGACATTGAAACTGCCCATTACTTTTTCCTTTCCAGTGAAAACAACAACAACAAAAAATTTAAATAAAACAACAAAATTACAATACAGAATGTCAATTCTAAAGACCCTACACATTCTGCTGATTCTCCCATCATGCAGCAGTGCTCAAATCATCATTAGGAAACAGTTCTATTGTAAAAGTCTCATCTTAAACTGCAAGGGATGCCTCTTAACATCACAATGAAACATGCCAAAGGAGAAGCCATGGTGTCAAATGCCCACTTAGGGCCTGCCAGATAGCTCAGCAGACTAAAGCACTTGCTTAGGCAGACGCAGGGACCAGGGTTTGATCCCTGTGCTGTGCCAGCACTGCCCCCAGGGCATGCTGAGACTGCCATTGAGACTGGGCGTGGTGGCGCAAGCCTGTAATCCCAGTGCTTGGGGGGGCTGAAAATAGGAGGATCACTACAAGTCCGATCTGTGTAGTGAGACCCTGTAGACCCTGTACTAAATACACTAAAAAAATACGCATTTAGCTCACCCAAGCACATCAAGCCCACCCTTTGAGGACCTTCTATACCCCATTTTTAAAAAGTTTTTTTAAATCTTTTTTTATTTTATTTTTTTAATTTTTAAATTTTTTTAAATTTTTTAAATAATGTATCAATAGACATACCAGGTTTAACATACACAAAGACATGAAAACCAACGATGCCAGATACTGAATTTCTATGGCACTGTCTTTTGAACACACCAACAGGAATAACTGTTGAGTGCAAATACCATACAGTGCAATTAATCTTTTTTTTTTAAAACAAGAGAAAGTAGGCAGGTGCATGTTAGTAAATGCTAACTGTCCATACTCACCTAGAGACACAGTGTAATCTCTGAGCCCAATACACATAGAAAGGAAGAAAGCTAGAATTTTCTGCACTGCTACACAAGGGCCGCACACCCTTCAACTTCCAGCAGAACAAAGTAAGTGGAGAACCACAGTGTTTGAGAAGAGACCTCAAGAACAGGGCCCTGAGCACGTGCATGGGGGGGACTGCAACTGGAAGAAGGGTCACCACTCTCATTCAGGTGACATTCTTTGGCGAGATCTTCATTTTCGAAGTAAGGATTTTCATCAAAATAAAAATCTCTCCTGTATCCTGACTTCATGCGTTCAATTTCTGCCACTCCAACCCTGGTCACATAATGCATTGCTTCTGTGTCTTCCTCCCCAAGTGGTGCAGACACTTGTGGGTGGCTAACAAATGCCACAAAAAAGAATTCGGGATTTGGGCAATGAATTCTGACCTCTTCTGAAAAGAAGGTTGGTAGAGTTTGTTATGTATCTGTTCTACTTTCAGTATTGCCTTGCTGGCTTGTTCATGAAGTCTGCCTATTTCATTTTGTACCTCATCAGTTGCTACTTGTTCCTCTTCCCCTGCTGTCCTCACCATGGAGAACTCTGCAGGGAGCCCTGGACAGCCGGTGGCTGCACCCTCTGTCCATTCTGCTCTGGTTCCTAGTATCTGTCTCTTATCTCACTCTGTAATTTATTTATATTTAGGGTTTGTCATATATGATAAACCATGCAATATTCAAGCTTGCATGTCTGGTTTATCTCAGTTAAACTTATAGTCTCAAAGTGCACCTATTTTCCTAAAATGACCCAAGTTTGTCCTTCTTAGCAGCAGAGTAGTATTCCACTGTGCATAATGTAGGTTTTAAAAGCTCCACAGGTGGTTGCAGTTTGCCACCCAGGTCGGAACACAGTGGCAGTTAAGAAGACTTGATCTCAGCTATTACTCAGCAGCAAGCAGAGGACAGCAGTCAGTTTACTTCTTCATCTTTTCAAGCCTTCAGTTTTCTTCTCTGTAGATGGAGGGTGATGATAGCTACCTCATCCACTAGTGATTGGATCAGGTCAGGTAAGAGCTTGCTCACGGTTCTGGCAGACAGCAAGAGTTCACCGCATGGTGATTATCGTTCATGACATCACAACAATGTGGGAAAGAGGAGGAGAATGGAGCTGAGAAAGGCAGGGAGCCAGCGAGGACAGCAAGGAGTGCACAGGTTACAGATATCCCAGGAGTGAAGCGACGGGGCTTGGGGAGCAGCTAGGGAGGGGGTGGGTGAGGAAAAGAGAATTCCTGGTGTGGAGCTGGCCCCGCTGGAGAGATGGTGGTGATGCCTGCATTGAGTTTGGGTACGTGGAAGGACAGGGATAAAGCAGCCAGCGAGGGGAAGGGCTAAGGGGACAGTGCAGGAGTGGGGAACAGGAGATGGATGAATAAGACCAAGTGGGAGGAGCCCAGGCGTGGGGTAGACATGCCCAGCCGGAAGCTAGCAGAATGGTCCAGGCTGGGCCCCATCGGCAGCGTGACCACATTCAAGCATGCTGAAACTGTAGAAACAGACACCATTTCTCACAGCAAATGTGTTGGTAGGAAGGGAGGAGGCTGAATTCCACATCTGGATGGCAAACACTGGAGCAGAAATGGTGGCACAATGCCTCAGTCACGTCACATCTGGCCACGCGCTGGTCCTGTGGGGGGTGGTGTGAGTCACGCCCTGGGGAACAGCTGCAGGCACACGCTTTCTACCCAGAGCCCTGGCATGACCCTCTGGGACCCACTCAGAGGAAAGCCGCCACTGGCATCTCCCTCCCACATTCTCCGCGTCGCAGGAAGCCTGCTGACCCCTTTCCGTGTGCAGAGAAGCTGCGCGTCTGCCCACCAGCGCTTCCTGGCCTTACGCCCTGCATCGGGAGGGCAGGAAGTAGTCCTTCAAGCAGTCCCTTCCCACCACCAGGTTGTGACTGGGCCACTCCCTGAGACCTCAGCGAGGGGGCAGGGGGAGCCTTGGAGATCTGTACTGTGGCAGAGCCTTCAGTGATTCAGAGATTGATCCCCATAAGAAGTGCACATTCTCGGGGCCCACCTTAAAGCTAACAGTGGGGGTGGGACTCCACCTTCTGTGTGTGATTCTGAAGTGTGTGTGAGACTGAGAACCACGGTCCAGGTCCGTATAGTTAACAGGACGGGAAACACCAAGAGTAAGGAGCTACCCCCTTTTTCTGTATGTCTTTCCCCAGAATACAAGCCTGCAGCTAGCAGAGCGCCATAAATGGCATTTAGCAGGTGCTTGTTGAGGATCTAGTTTATGGAAAACTCATCTAGCGCAGAAGCCACACACGCACGAGCACACACACACACACACACACACACACACCCCAGACCTCTGGGAATTTTCCACCGGGAGCAGCAACATTTCCATGTACAAAAGTCAGGTCAAAGGCAAGGCGAGGCACAGCGCTGCGGTGATGAGCCTCTGGGTGACCGCACGAGGAAGCCGTCGGCCAGCCAGGCCGCAGGCTATTCTATAGCACAGCTAGCCTTTGACATTGTTTATTAGTCAAAAGCATCAGAGAATAAGTAGAGAGGAGAGGGGCTGGGGAGATGGCTCAGTAGAATAAGGCTTGCCTGGCAAGCTCACGGCTGGAGTTCAAACCCCGGTTCCACCAAAAAAAAAAAAAAAAAAGTAGGAGAGCCAACTGCAGTATCAAAGGAGTCAAAAGAAGGGGCTTTCGACTGGGTCTCTGGAGGAGAAAGTTTGCTTAGTCCTAAGGGTGGGGAGGCCTGGAACCTATAAAAAGAAAGAATAAAACCAAGCAAAAAAGTTAAAAGATAACTCACAGACATAACTGAACACCATGAACTGGAGTTCTGACTCTGGATCCTGATTAAATCCTCAACTCTAAAACATATTTTTTAGAAGATAATTCCAGCAACTTGAACAGAAACTGAGTTAATAGTTGAGAAGAAGGATTTGATGTCAGTTTTACTAGGTATGATAATAGCATTGTGGTTATGTAAGCAAATGCCCTTTTTTATGCTAATGTATTTGGGGGTAAAGTGAGTCAGTGGCTAAAATTTTTTTAAGATACTCCAACCAGCGAGAGGGAGAGCAGAAAGAATAAGTAAAATAGGTATGGTGAAACATGATGACTGTGTGTGTGTGTGTGTGTGTGTGTGTGTGTGTAGGCAGGGTTGGAACCCAGGGTCTCACCCATGTTAGGCAAGGGCTCTATCACTGACCTACACCCACAGCTCACTTGATGGCTACTGAAGCTGACTGGTAGTCCCTGGACTGTTTTTCATGTAAGTTTGGTGCAACTGTAATAAAAGGGTTTGGCTTTGCTTGGTCCTAATGAGTGCTGGAGACTGATGATGGAGGAATTTAGAGAGAGGGTGCTGGCAGTGAGGACCAGAGCCCCTGGGAGAAGTCTGTGCAGGAGGTGAGCTGTGCACCTCCTTTCTCCTTCTCTACCTCTCTCCCTTCCCCTGTCTTAGCTTCCCCAACGTACCCAACAAACTGCAGAATGAACAGCGGCCAGGCTGAGCTGCAGAGTCTTTAAGTGTCTTGGGGGGAGGAGAGGGGGCGGCCCCGCCAGGGGCCTGAATGGACTTCAAACGCCAGGCAGGCGAAAGGCTTCTGTACACACAAGAATGAGGCAATCTGGGCTGGGAAGGCTGACTACGAATGCGCGAGGCAGGAAGGCAGAAGCCTGGAGGTTGGATAAAGGGCTTACCCCGGTCCAGGCCCGGGGAAGCGATAAGGGCTTGCACTGTACACGGGTGACAGTTGATGAGTGTGACATTTCAGATGCATCAAGCATCAGCGGAATCCACTGATATTTATGAAGCTAGCATGGCTGAGGCATAGAGCAGCACAGAGAACTTGAATGATTGGGTAAATGGTAAAAGGTTAGGGGAAGGAGTTAATTTGGAAAGTGCAGGATCTGAAGAGAGGACTGAACGACCCTGCTGAGATACTTTGAACCACTGAATATTCCCTACGGTGGCCACTTTAGGAGGGAGGTGAGGAGACTCAGCATCAGTGGATCCACTGGTGAAATCATTTTTCCCTGTCTCCCTTCCCAAGACAAAGCCTGATGAAACGTGAAGGCTGAAGAGTAGAAAACAGTATGTGAAAATGAGAAGCGAGGCAGAGATGCAGGGTGAAGCAGCCTAGGGGGAGGCCACGGGGCGTCTGGGCAGGCCCTGAAGAAGTCCTGCTTTGAAAATCCTGTTCTGCTGTGCTTTTGTTTCCTGTTGTGCTGGAAGACCCTCCCCACACTCCTTGGGGTGCAGCACGAGTCAGGCCCCGTCCTCCTTGAGCTTCCTTTTGTTGCACAACTGTACAGCCCAGAGGGCCAGGAGCTTCAGAGCCAGGCACTGTGGATGTGGACCAGTTCTACTCCCCCATCCTAAGTGCTCAGGGTCGACCCAGTTCCTCCTGGAGATCGCCTTGGTGGGTGCCAATGATTCTCCGGGTCCATATTCCTCAGAACTGGGAGACCGTTTTTCTGTCGTGACTGCTGAATCACTGAGCTAACAAACAAGAGAAAAAACAGTCACATGGGGCAAGATTTCGAGAGCAGAGTTACTTCAGTTGCCTGTGGAAATTACACTACATTGTGCAACAAGACTTTTGGGGTGAAATGGGACATTTGATCTTGATCTGATGGTCTGGCCCATTTGTAAGACACCCGGGTTGCCTCCTTTGGAGTTGCCAATCAGTCCATGAGGCGACCCCACCATTGTCACCATCACATAGACATAAACCAAAGATGCTTTGCGTTCCCCCAGAAACTGCTCATTGGTTCTTCTTTCTGATTTGTTATTTTCAGAAAATAACACCAACAGGCCAGCAAAACACAAGGTAGGTTTTTTCTCAACTGCCTTCCTTCCTGTTGGAGACCTCTCAGGTTCTGTCCATCCCCAAACCCACTTCCTTCCCA